CTCCTCTCAGATAGTGGCTCTTTCTTGTTCTTGGGCATCTCTTTTTCTTCTTCCTTTCCATTCTGGTCCTCATCCTTAGTCTGTACCTCAAATTGTGTCTAGGTCACACTGACCATGGAAAACAGTGGGGAAGAAGTAAGGTTCTCAGATAGAACCTTCATATCTGTTCAGTTGTCTCACTGTATATCCTTTCATTGACTTCTTTATTTAGTAAAATAGTAAACATAAACATATAGCTCCTGCTATCTGTTCAGGTAGTGGGGTGGTACAAATGGTTAAGAACTCAACTACTAACAAAAAGGTTGGGGTTCAATCCTACCCAGAGGTGCCTCAGGAGACAGGCCTGGTAGTCTGCTTCCCAAAGGTCATAGCCTGGACAACCCTACCCCTCAGATCAGTTCTACTCTGCACACATGAGGTCTCCATGAGTTGGAATCCACTCAACAGCAACTAACAACAACATTCACATCTACGAATTCATGGGAGCAGTGGTGGCTCAGTGGTAAAATTCTTATGTTCTATGCAGGAGACCCAGGTTTGATTCCTAGATGACACACATCATATACAGACTTGTGTGTTGCTATGATAGAGTACATTTCAGCAGAGCTTCCAGGGTAAGATGGACTAGGCTGGTGATCTACTTCCAAAATTCAGCCAGTGAAAGCCCTATGAACACAATGGTCTGCTCTGCAACCAATTGGGGGATGGCAAAGGGCTGGGCTGCATTTAGTTTCACTATGCACAGGGTCACCATGAGTTGGCCAACTCAGTGGCAGCTAATGACAACACTCTATGTTCAGCACTGTGCAAAGACTATGTATAGAGTCATGGTGAATAAGACACAATCCCTTCCTTCACATAGCTCACACTCAGATTGGATAGACGGACTTTTAAAAAGTCTGATAAAGTAGCATGGAGTATGTAACGATAGGCATATGTGCATGGTGATACAGTGCACTAAGGAGGCAGTATCCTAACTTGGAGGGCTAAGGACTATGAGTGAAGTTTCCTGGAGGAAGAGACACCTATAATGTTTTATAAACTTAAAAACTTCAGGCATTTTAGGGTGACAAAAGATATCTTAAACTGAACCCAAATTGAGCTTTAAGGGAGAATAACAAGCATATTTTGAATTTCCTGGGAGCTCTGGTGGCATAGTGCCTAAGGCATTTGACTGCCAGCCAGAAGGCTGGAGTTCAAACTCACCAGCCACCCCTTGGAAGGAAGACTGGGCAATCTACTTCTGTAGAGATACCATCTCAGAAATCCAAGGAAGAGGGGTCACTGTAGATTGAAATCAACTCGGTGGCAGTGAGGGAGTTGAAATTAAGCTTCTTTTTAAAATTCTTTATACCTTGAGCAGAAGTGTCAAAGGAAGGTATTATATGTTTCCTGTGCTTTCCTTGCTAACAATGAATGTAACCGTTGTGGTATTTCGAGGAAAGACTAACACAATTGAGTTTGGCTTATCTTGATCAAAGGTAGAGTCTCGCCTTTAGGAAAGTAACAGAAACAGTGGTGTCTGTGTGCCATAGCATTTGTCAGCGTTAAATACACACACACTACTGTATTAGAAGGAGCTCTGGTAGCATAGTGCCTAAGGCACTTGACTGCTAACCAGAAAGCTGGCGGTTCAAACCCACCAGCCACTCCTCAGAAGGAAGGTTGGGCAATCCTACTTCTGTAGTGATACTGCCTCAGAAACTCAAGGAGGGGTTGCTCTGAGTCAGCGCCGACTCTGTGGCACATAAGAAACACAACAACTGTATTGTTGTTGTTGTTGTTATGTGCCGTCGAGTCAAACCCGACTCATAGCGACCCCTCCTTGGGTTTGGGAGGCAGTATCACTACGGAAGTAGGATTGCCCAACCTTCCTTCCGAGGAGTGGCTGGTGGGTTTGAACCGCCAGCCATCTGGTTAGCAGGAAACTGTTTTAGCCACTGTGCTACCAGAGCTCCCAACAACTGTATTAGAAGAAGGTAATTTTTGTCTGCAATAAAACCTAACCCACAACAAATGATGCTTCCTTGTAATGGAGCTTTACTCTACAATAAAAAGGATAAGATAAGAAAAAAAATGCGAGTAATATATTTGCAAGTGCATTGCTTTATTGGAAACTCTAATTATAGTATTTACTTCATTTAAATCGATGAAAGAAACTTAACTGAGAATAGATTGTTTATTTTTAGGGCCAGACATGGTTTTCAAGTAAAATTTATTTTCTATATTAAAAGAAAAAGTTAGTTTAAAAACTACATTATGAGTGAAACCTAGAACT